ATGAATCATTACTCAACAGTTACAGACTTCTTATTCTTGTTCGCTGCGTTGTTGCGATGAATAACTGTCAGAAATTTGGAATGTTGCAGGAAATTAGTGAAGCCTCGCTGTCCAACACTCGCCTTTAGAAACTATATTGCTCAGGCATAACAAAATACATGCATAGCGACAAAGTTTACACCATACCAACACTTTAGCTTTTCGAATTCAGCGCAGCTAAAACTCAAATATTTGCGGCCAAAGTGATTTTCAAAGTTATTCCTCAGCTTTGGACTTCACTGATGATTTCATCCGACTTCCGGTTCCACGTGAGAAAATTTTTTACGTAAAATACTGCCTCCCTGATGATCGCTCTCTTACATTTCGAACTACCATCTTTCATACGGTCAGTGGCCTTATCAAGAAAACTATTAGCGCGGCATTCGTGTTCCTTCAAAAACTTCTCATAACGGACTGGAATGGAGCCCTAACCGTCAGCCACACGTTGCCGTCTACTGTTTGCAGCTTACAAGAGAACAGGAATGTTGATGAAGAATTTTTCGTTCCTCCTAATATTAGAATCAGCGAAAATGACAAACCAACAGTAGTCTGCAGTTTTCACCACGGCTAAAGATTAAACAAATCAATTTAAGCATTATAAGTGTCACAGTCCTGTGATTTACCTGATTTACAGTGGAAATCAACAATGAGATTAATAAATCAATATGCCAAAAATAATTGCATAGGACTTGCGCATAGTGCTTCTGTCCATGTACACAAGTCAAGAACTTTCTGCGCGTTCGCTTTTACAGAATCTCGTCTTTGAAGCTTCATCACAGAATATGGAAACTTTAAGCACTAGCTTCACGTGATTTGTCAAATATTCATTAAGTAGCTGTTAAAATACTGTAAAAGGGCAAATTGTACATGCTTAACGACAGCAATTAGCAGGACGAAAAAACTTTTGTTAACAAAACAGAACACAGCTGTATTCGACAAACTCTGAACCCGGCATAACATCAGAACAAGGGGTTCTCGCTCAGGCACCTTCCACACCGAAATGGGCGGATCAGAACATCTTTTCGGGTCTTAACCCTGTGTTAAAAAGGCACAAAGGCTAAAGATATATACCTCACGCGTCACGCTAAGAACGAAAGCACACAGAATTTAAACACAGTCAAAATAAATGAATAAATAACAGCAAATCGAACACCAGGTTTAAATAGCTGCAAAGAAAATAACAATTCGCGTAAGGGCAGACAACAGAACGAAATATGAAAACAAACAGAAACACCCTAAAGCTTAAGTAGAGAACATATTCGTCGCAGTGTTACCGGAACAGTTCCAAATGACCGTTCCAATAAAGAACAAATAAAATAAAGCGCTATCACATAAGGAAGAGATAAATCTGAATAAACTGCCATGAAAAATATACTAATGTTCAAAAGACTGCCTCTTAAATGCTATTTGTTTGGCGCCTCGCTGCTGGAGTGCAATCGATGACAAAGCTCTTTATATTTTGTTGGGTCAAATTTTCCAGGAATCTGAAACATCACATATTGCTTATTAAGCCTTATCAAGCGAAAACACACAGCAGTCGGTAAACTTGTCATTTAAAATCGGTTCAGATTCATCGACGTTTCTCAAACAATACTTTAAACAAATCACAACGAAGACAAAGCTGAATGAACTGAACAAAACTCAAACAATTACGCCTAACATTAACACCATAATCACAGCAGTTTCTGAAATGCGAATAATCGAAATTCTTTTTAAAAAAAGAGAATATATTACATACTGTTATCGATAAAGCTAGGAATAACGTGATATAAAATCAAATCCCACATTTGTTGAAACAATTTGAAAGCAGATGCAGGTGTAGAAAAAATCATAGATCAACTATGCTAGACAGCCACGATATAACGATGAACGCGTGAGCAGTGAAAGACAAAAAGGAAAGAACAGAGAGAAAATGTCTCGCTTTCAGTGCCCATTCCTCCAACATTTTGTTGCCAAACGGCATGCGTGTATATTCCTTAGAGTTCAAAGGAATTATTGGTGCTAGATGCATTTCGGCAATGATCGTTTGTTTATAACAACCGTGTGAATGTGTGAATGAAACAGGATGCGACATCAAAGAGAAAGCGAGTGACTCCTGCAGCGCACTGGATGCAAAGCTACAAACTGTCAATTGTTCTGAAAAAGGATATATTTGAGAATCAGTAAAAATTACCACTATTCATAGGCAAATACGACAAATCTATACAATTGTCATGGGTAGCTACTATGAATGCAGCCTTTCAAAATAAAGTGAATATGAAAGGCACTTAAATACCATGAATCCGTGACATGCTTAAATGATTCCTTTACGTTACCGGACACAAAAGGGTGGTATAAATGTCACATTTACCAGCGGAATTGGAAGGTTGCCACTGAAAAGCGCAAGACTGACATGAAACATAAACAAATAAAACCGACGCAGAGGTACTCCAATACAATGTTTAAAGGTCGCAATTCTCGCAGAAAATGGATCTGCAGCTTCAAAATATAAAGAAACGGCTTGTGCCCTATCATAAGTGCCGAACCTATTTGGAAACTGACACTTCAATATATTATCCGCAACACTGGGTGTTCTGGGAATATCGTAGAATATTGCAATTACTTGAATAAAGACAGAAATGGACTCATGTTGCGAACAAAAATATCGAACTTACACTTCGAAGAATTTCAGAAAGGTCGCGCGATATCCACTGCAAACAGAGCGGCGTAAGATGGGTCAAAGGGCTGACAGCGCACTGCAAAAATAAGTCTCTCGAATAAACTATTCGAACCACGACGCGGTCTTTCGTGTCTTGCAACAGCATTGAACCTACAACAACTGTAATAACGAAAGTTCAACTGACAGTGGTCAGATTTAGCTCTGAAACAACTGCAGTACTCACCATCGGCTTCAGTCTGAACAGCGTTGCTGTGAGACAGTTCTGTTTTCTGAAACGATCTAAATGACCGACGAAGATGAAGACCGTCTCCTCGGCACTGAGATAATTCTTCCTAAAGCAGATAATACAGTGTTTATTTTCTATTAATAGAGGACGAAGAATCCCCCACTGTTGACTATATCCGTGTAAAAAAGCAAAGTATCTACAAAGTATCAAACTCCATTTTTTATGAAATCCGTAAGACGAAGGCAGAAACCACTATGATAAAGGTCATTCTCAGGAAAAGATTTTGGGTTCAGCTTTTGATTATGCATAACTGAGGGTCGCGAAACATAAGCTAATAATAGAAACATATTTTAAATACATGAACATGCCTAAGCGATTCCGGTTTGCAGTACAATCTAGCAGTCTAAATTCTTTGGCGGCTGCAGTTTGTCATCGCACGGTCTTAATACAACATCCCAACTGATCACCATAAACTTTAATGGGATGTACTTATTCAATTAAAACGCCATTCACCTTAAAGAGAACTGTCATAAAGAACAGTAGAACAACCAGTCTTGAATATAAGTTATGGCTACTTTTCCCATCAAGAAACTTACTGCCAAAATAAATTTCCTTGACTGGTGCGTATTAAGTTTCACGAATTATATGTCAAAAATGTCAGGTACACTCAGTCAACACCTTTCAGGAAATGACACCATGAAACACAAGTTAACACTGATTACAGCCTTTACTGACAAACGACGCTGTGATGCGCAAAAGCAAAACTACGGAATACATTATTCTCCTATCACCCCATAATCCAATTACGCGGGATGATCAGTCAAGTCTACGTGCCACAGGTAAGCGTTGGTCAGGAACAAGTGAACGAAATTAAAATATCTTATTAAGATAAGGGAAATTCCACGGGCCCACAAGGTCCGAATTTCTACATCAAAGAGTTCCTTCGACATTATACAGCATCTGCATATTACACATTTAGTGTTTACCATTAATGTGAATATACATTTCCAATAATTTGGAGAGAATTCAGACACTATCAGACAGCAACTCACCTCACTTCGTAGTTCATCAGAGAAATCAGCAGCCAGGTTTGGTGTGCTACGAGCAGACAATTTCGTTTGATTCTTGCTCTTAAGGTTCAGAACGGACGGACTATCACTAAACCTTCTTGTTAAGTAGATTAATTGTTAAGCAGTGACTCGTTAACTTATTGCCCTCTAATGCCGCATCCACCTGTTGTTCGACAGCAGATGAGTCCAGGGAGACGTCAGTAAGGGCATCCGCCAATGCCGAAAGCGACTTGCGACGTGTTTTCATGAATTCTCTGGTAATGTTTTCTTTTCCAATGCAGTTCTTCTAGAAAGAATAAAAAGTTTAACAGAAATTACGTAAAACAAGATACATCATCTTGATGGAAATAACGATTGAGCGCCAGTTTAGCAGCTTGCAGAAGCTGTGGGTCTGCGCTACTCAGCTTGAGTATTCCACTCGATTCACCAGTCAGAATAGACATTTCAGCCTCTGAAGTTGGACGATCACGATTAGCCACGTTTGATTCATCGCCGCTGGCCAATCCTCCGGAAAAAGTCGATGCCACTGAAGTAGTTACTCGTCTGCTATCATCAGGCTAAAACAGTGAAGACTATCTGCCAGGCTTTAGACGTACAATCACTGCACACAGGAAAGTTCAAAGAAATCATTCAATTTAAAATCTGATTAATTAATTTCTAACAAAATTACAACTTTTACCCTTCTGGACAGCAGCATTTAAAATTTCTTACTGAATGCAAGGAAAACAGTTTACAAAAACTGGAGCTCATCTGCGACCCAAACTTTTCATAAAAATATTGGTTAACAACGAAAAATCAATGCGGAGTTCTATAATCGTACCGAACACTTCCTACCAATGGGATACCATCGACCAAAAGCAATGATTCCACATGTTCATTATTTCGCAAAGAGTCTAGCCTTCCAACTCGGCCGTTGCCGGTCCCAAGCTCGCTTGAGAAAGGACGAGAGTTGGAGAATGTGGCA